GGGAGAGCCCTGCCGGCGGCTGCTGCCCAGGCTCTGGACTAGGGGAGAGGGAGACAGAAGTAGGAGGAGGAGGAGGAGAAGAAAACGGAGAAGGAAAAGAAGGAGGAGGAAGAGGAGGAGAAGTGGAGGAGGAGAAGAGGAGGAGGGGAGGCGCTCTGGTCGCCGTCAGTGGGCAGCGGAGACGCGGCATGCCCCTGGCAGGGGAGAGCGGGCTGTCCTCAGCAGGGCCATGGGAACCCGCTCTCTGACAATGCCTGGGTGACAGGAGCCACGCCAGCCACCCCGCCACCTCCACCATCACCTCCTGCACTCAGCCTCCCCACCGGCCACCAGCACCAGCCTCTTCCGCCTCTCTCTCTCTCTCTCTCTCTCTGCATTATTGTTTCCCACTCTACAGAGGATGGGGTCGGCTGATGATTAGGTCGGAAGCAAGTCAGATCTTCCAAAGCCTGGTAATATTTCTGTAGGCAAAAGAAGAGAGTGAAATGATATAGAGTGAGGGAGACAGAAGGAGAGAGAGAAAAAGAAGAGAGAGAGAGAGAGAGAGAGTGAGACAGAAAGAGAAGAAACGGGAGGAGGGGATAAGGAAATAAAACCCTTAAGTCAATGCATGTTGTTGTGACACCGGCACGGGAGCCCTCACGGTGGAGTCGGCCAGGGCTGTGCGTTCCCAAAATATGACCAGGGGTGCTTGGATGTGTCGGCAGTATGACGACGGCTTAAAAATCTGGTTGGCAGCACCCCGGGAGAACGAGAAACCGTTCATCGATTCAGAGAGGGCTCAGAAATGGCGACTGTCTTTGGCATCTCTCTTGTTTTTCACAGTCCTGCTTTCTGATCACTTGTGGTTCTGCGCCGAGGCCAAACTGACCCGCACCCGGGACAAGGAACATCATCATCATCATCGGCAGCAGCAGCAGCGGCAGCGACAGCAACAACAACAGCGACAGCGGCAGCAGGAACCCTCCTGGCCCGCACTCCTGGCAAGCATGGGGGAGTCCTTGCCCGCCGCCCAGGCACAGAGACTCCTCTCCGCCTCCTCGTCCCCCACACTACCCCCCTCTCCGGGAGACGGCGGCGGCGGCAAGGGCAACCGAGGCAAAAACAACCCGAGCAAGGCTTTTTTTCTAGGAAACTCTGCCAAACCCGTGTGGCGCCTGGAGACTTGTTACCCCCAGGGCACCTCTTCGGGCCAGTGTTTCACAGTTGAGGATGCGGACGCTGTGTGCGCCAGGAACTGGAGTCGGGGGGTGGCGGCCAGGGGGGAGGAGCAGCAGGTGAGAGGGAAGCATCAAACTCCGCTCTGGAACTTGTCGGATTTTTACCTTTCGTTTTGTAATTCCTACACACTTTGGGAGTTGTTCTCGGGGTTGCCGAGTCCCAACACTTTGAACTGTAGTCTGGATGTGGTGCTTAAGGAGGACGGCGAGATGACCACTTGCAGGCAATGTGTCGAGGCTTACCAAGACTATGACCACCATGCTCAGGAGAAATACGAAGAGTTTGAAAGTGTGCTCCATAAGTATTTACAGTCGGAGGAGTATTCGGTGAAATCCTGTCCTGAGGACTGTAAGGTAGGAACACTGGATTCTCCCAACTCCCTTTATGTTCCTTTCTGCCTCTTTGCTTGGTTATGATGGTATCTTTTACGTTTCAAAAAACATAGTTCCCAACCCCAGGCTCTGGTGATTACCGTGGTTTTTAGAGATTGACTTGCTGTTTTAAGTCAGGAATACATACGGGACTATTAGTGGAATTTTTTTTGGGGGGTGGGGGTCGGGGGTGGCAGTGAGGAGGGATCTTGAAAGATCTCACTGATCCCTCTGAGACGATGAAACTATTGTTGAAATTTATTTCTTAGAGCTATGCTGTTGGCTCAAACTCAGTTACCTTTCTTAAAAATTGAAATTTGAATGTCGCTTGTTAGGATGACTGTGCACTGATGACTAATGACCACAACCAAAATCAACTAGTCAGAGGTGGGCATGTATGTTTTGGCATATGAAGTTGCATATGCGATCTCTCTTGTAATGTCATTAAATTGATTAGCAAGAAGAAGGAGAGAAACTTTTTGTGTTGTTTGAGTAGGATTAAGAAAAAAACCTTTGGTTTGTTTTGACATTATTCTGATTGTTTTGAAAGTCTGGTGTCATGAATTTTTTTTCTTGTACTTGTGGATAATCGCTGACTGAGACAGTGTGTCAAGTTGTAATAAGATAGCTAATGATCTATTATTATTGTTGATTTATTTATTCGGCACCTTATGTAATTAAGTTGAAAATTTTCACAATTACTGTCAGATGCATGATGCTAAGTACTAGATTTGACTGAATTCTTTAACTTGTAGTATAGTGAACCTCTCCGTGTTGAATATATAAAGAATATAACGCGTGGTGTTTGGCTAAGAAGTGTAACTAAGTTTCTTAAGAAAAGATCAGCCTTTACTAAGTGTCGCTATCCGTGGTGCTGAAACGAGATTGCCCAAGAATAATGTTTAAGGTGACGAGACTGCAGTGACCTTTAGTAGTAAAGCAATGATGACAGAATTTCAGCAACTCTTAAAGTTTTGTATTAAGGATGTAATTTATCATTGCAATAAAAGGTATTTATTTTCAAAAGAAATAATAATCATGTTCTATCGCTTCTTATCTTTTCCTTACTCCCCCAACCCTACACTTAAAAAGAAAAAAAAAAAGTCTCCGTTTTTTCCTTTGCTTTGTCAGGGAGACAGTGATGAGGAAACGCAATGAAGGGAAGTATGAATCAAGGGATTCTGTGAAATTTTAACAAGAAGACTAGGATAAGAGATACCTATTTTAAATGAACATAGTTCAAGAGCTGTATTTTAGTTTGGATTGACTAGGTGTGCTTTTGATGATTAAGCTAATGTAGACTGACCCTGCTTTGCAGATACGTGTTTTAGAGCAGAAATAGAGATTTATTTTGGAAACACTAATGTTAAATTTATAGCCATAATTTAGAATGCTACTTCATGTGATAAATTGTGACTTAAATGTCTCTTTTTTAAAAAAATCGTACAACTATACCTCATATTACTTGTAACTTTCCTGAAAATTAGAATTAATATTAGTGATAGAAATAATAATGGATGGCTAGTCAGTCTGTTTATTGAAGTTTTATTTATTTTGGCAAGGTATGTTACACTGAAATTATAAAGGTAAGGGGTCTACTGTGTCTTCTAATTACACCACTAGTAAAAGGCTGAAGACGATTCAGTATGTTCCAGTATATTTATGTTTTGAAGTTTCAGAGTGCACTTTGTAATAATTTAAAATTTCCTACTACCCTGAATGTAAATATTCGTAGCAATTTCTGATAATCTCATTTTGCAAACTTTAGCAGTTTGAAATATAGTCCATGTTTTCACATGTTGTTGTTGTGAAGTGTCACTGAGTTGGTTCCGAGTTATAGCGACCCTGTATAGTGTGTCAGAGGAGGGAATAATGAGCTTGAACTGCCAACCTTACAATTCAAAGAGACTTTGTGGTCCAGTGCTTTAACCCACAGTGCCACACCACACAGTGACATGTTTTTAAATAAGTATGTCAGTTATATCCTTGGTCAAGCATCCAAAAACTTTATAAATACCATATTTACTCCATGACCTGAATTAATTCTAAAGTTTACATTTGGATCATAGCCATAAGATGTGGGTTAAGTTAATTTATAATATTGTAGACTATAAAGGAGTAATTGTTAACTGGCTGTACATAGACATATTATAAAGACACTAATTCCTTAAAGAATCATCACAATGAAAAATAAACATAGTCATTTGAGTTTCTCATGCCCAAAATACAGTCCTAATCACCCATGATGTCTTGTAGCTATTTTTCAGTTATATGATTCTTTCCCCCTTTGTTTTATCAATTTGAGATATGGATTTTTGGTGTGGTGCTATAGGTTAAGCACTGGACTGCAAACTACAGGGTCGGCAGTTCAAACCCACCAGCTGTTCCTCGGAAACCCTATATAGGTTTGCTTTGAGTTGAAATGGATTCAGTGGCACTTAACAACAACAACAACAACACTGTTTTTTGTTTTGTTTTTAAACAGCACAGTTTTAGATTTAAGGTGCTGATGCTTTTGGTTGAAGACTCACAAATCAGTTGGTTATTATGTAAAAATGCAAAGCAAGCATAGTTGCTTGGTTAAATATATGATTTAAGATTCTGAAAAAAACTCACAAACATACCAACATGCAGACTATATCATATGGCTTAAAATGTTATTTGCAGTTTTTTAACATTCCTATGTTTCAGTTTCTCTCTGAACACTTTTTTACATATTTTAAACATACTTATTTTTAAAATGACTATTATTAGGAATCTGTTCAAGATACAATATGGAAAAGGTAAACTTTCTATTTTTTTAGGTAGCTACAAAGTCCTGTGCTGCATTAAAAGTAAATGTGTTGTATTTCTGGAGTGGATGTCACATTAAAGAAAAAATCCAATTGGAACACTTTGTAAATGCCATATTTACTAACATTATAGACAGGGATACATGAAATTATGTTCCTAATATAAATTGTTAAAATATCTATTTTAGAATCAGTATATTAATTTTAACATAGCCATATATAGTGAAGTGATTAATGTAATGGTGTCCAATTTTGAAGCATTATCATGTTTCATTGTTTTCTCCTCTCCTTAATTAAAAAAGTTGTTGTTGTTGTTGTTAAGTGCCATCGAGTTAGTTCTGACCAATAGCGAGCGACCCTGTATAGGGTTTCCGAGGAGTGGCTGGTGAGCTTGAGCCACTGACCTTGCAGTCCAGTGCATTAACCCACTGCGCTACACCAGGAGTCCAATTTAAAAAGTAGCACCTACCATATATGTTTGAAATAAAAATGGATTAAAATTATTTTTAGTGTAAATTATTTTAAAGGGCGTTCTGACCCATTACCTTTAACAAGCTAAATGTTGTTTTAATACTATCATAGTGTCTTAAATCCATAGCAGTTGGAGGGAAATAAAAATAAATCTGGATTTTCTTATTAGGTAAACCTTTGTACTACAACATATGATCAAGATGATAGTTTCATAATACTCTAAGAAATATCTGCTTCAATTAACAAAATAAAGATACATATTCCTCTGGGAAGTATGCTATGGCCCAATAAAGAAAGAGAACTATTGTATATAGCATGTATACTATAGATTTCACGATACTTTGTTATGTAAATAGAATACCAAAATGTCGGACAGTAATTATACCCAACAGTTTGCAGTGTTGTGCAAAATCATATTGATAATAAAAAGTAAGAATCTGCAAATACATTAAACCGAAGGTGAATACTAAACAAATGAAATAATCTAAGTTATAATACTATAAATATATATTAATTTGCTTTGTTTACTTTAAGATCTTCACTTACATGGGCAACTCTTTATGAAGAATATTTACGAAGGAATAGTATAAAACTGGAATATCTAGAGAATATGCATTTCTATATTACAGGTAAACTTTTGTAATTACTGTCATTGTTTTAAGTGCCCTCGAGTGGGTTCCGACTCATAGCGACCCTGTACAGTGTTTCTGAAGAGTGACTGATGGATTTGAACTGCCAGCCTTACAATTCAAACTGACCTTGCAGTCCAGTACTTATCCTACAGCACCACACCAGGACTCCGTTTAATTACTGGTAACTTTATTTACTTTCTATGTTGTTGTTGTGAACGGTAAGTGCCGTTCAGGTGGTTCTAACTCACAGCAAGCTTGTCTAGAATTTCCAAGAAACAGCTGGTAGTTTGAACCCTTGACCTTTTGGTTAGCAGTCTAGTGCTTATCTTACAGTGCCATATCAGGACTTCTAACTTACAATACCCTAACACAAATAGTCTGTGAAAGCAGATTTTAGATAAGATTGTAACAGAAATAATTGCATTTTATTTACTTTAGTTTTCACAGAATAAATTCATTCAGATACTCTCAAGAAAACATGCATTCTTAAATTGTGATTTTTGCAGTCTCATTTAAAGGATATTATATCATCCATTTTCATTTAATATACACTGATCAATGGGATGCTTTGTAGCCACTAGGCATATATGACAACCTTGAGACTCATATTTTTCTATTTTGCAGAACCTCTGACAAAGATTAGCAAGTTTGAGAACCTAGTTTGGTTTGCTTAATGTGAAATTTGAAAAAAGGCAGTTCTTTAGTGTTTATTGTGGTTCCACGTTCTGTTGTTGCTAAAGGTTGTTGAGTCATTGCCTACTCACAGTGATCCTGTGTAGGGTTTCTGAGGAGCAGCTGGTGGGTTTGAACTGCTGACGTTGTGGTTCTAAGTCCAGTATTGATCCTGCAGTGCCACACATCAGGTGCTACATACTATGAAGTCTCAAATAAATAGTTTCATTAAAAAAAGAAAAATTAAGTGGCTCATGTTTTTTTCTCCTTAAATGTTGAACCTCAAACATTATTTTGCAATTGTTTAGCTTCTATTGTGAATACAAGTCAGCCTCCAGAGGTGCAGATTACATCTGCATATATATCTCCTTTACATTCTGAAACTTTAGTTATTATTTCCAAACCTTATTTTGTT